ACCAAAGCATGACAACACTCATGACTACCTATGAGCTACGTATGACCAGTGTAAACATTATTCTTGCATCAGAATAAGAAAAAAGTCAAGTGACTGTTCAAGGCCAGGTTGGACAGAGCCTTGGGTGACATGGTTTAGTGTGAGGTGTCCCTGCCCATGGTGGGGGGGGGGTGGAACCAGATGATCTTAAGGTCCTTTCCAACCCTAACTGTTCTATGATTCTATGACTGTGTAATGCTACTGCACCACTCACAAAGTTTTGTCTATGATATGAAACAAGGAAGCTGGAAAATATTTCTTTCAAGGCCTCTGCAGTCAGTTTCTCTGAGATGGATGAGCTTCTGCAGATTTCAGAGCAGTGGTGGTATCTGTCCAAAATGGGCTTTGCTGACTTTGCACGTGGATCATTCTGTTTGTCAGGACCTTGCCTTGCATTGCCTAACAGTTAGGAATATATCTTTGCTTTGTGCTTACTGAAAGGCTACTTCTGATAGCCCTGTGAAGAAGGACTTGAGGGTGTTGAGGTTAGCTATAAGGAGGAAGTGCTTTACTGTGAGGGTGATGAGGCAGTGGCACAGGTTGCCCAAGAAAGTTGTGAATGCTCCATCCCTGGCAATGTTCAAGGCCAGGTTGGACAGGGCTTGGAGCAGCCTGATCTAGTGTGAGGTGTCCCTGCCCATGGCAGGAGGGTTGGAATTGGATGACCTTAAGGTCCTTTCCAACCCAAACCATTCTATGATATGCTACTCTGCTGACTTCAGTCTAGCTGAGCCAGCTGTGTTTTGCATAGCACTCAATGGGTGTTTTAACCCAAATTTTGTGGTCCCAGAGCTGAGGCCTCACTCCAAGGGAGGCTATGGCTCTGACATAGCTGTTTGTTTCAGCTACAAAGGTTCTCACAGGCATTCATGGTGGAGGAGACATCTGCATTTCCCTTTTCCTTTTCCTTGGGAACTGATGAGCTCTTGCCTGTGAGGCATAAGCTACCAGGCTGCTATAAGGCTTTGTGTTATTTTGCATGTATCTCAAGGGTCTGTACTTCCATGTGGCTGTCACCTTTCTACAGCTCGTTGTTTTCAGTCTCTCCCTTCCTCAGTCTCTCTCAGCTGCTTCTGTCTCAGGCCCAGTTTCACCTTCTCACCCTTACGAAGGCCTCACTTTTCTTCCAGATCTTGCATCTTCTTTCTCCTTTCCTTGCAGGGCAGTTTCAATGCGTTCTCGTAATCTTCACTGTTCCACTTCCACATTCAGCCTCCTACAGGCTATTCCACACATCATAAACTTCTTCAGCCACACTGCTGCAATCATATCCTTCCACACCTCCACCACTGCTCCCAACTTTCATTCCTTCCTGGTTCATCATGCCTATGCCTTCCTCAGTGGAAAATTATTCCAGTGAGACTCAAAGCAGAGCTATGAGGTTAAGACACATCACTAAGAGCTTTGAGCCGTATCAGAGAAAGCACTTTGAGAGAAATAGGTAAATCAAAGGGGAACAAAGATAATCCAGACCCCATACTATTTAATATTTGAATACAAGTTAAAAACAAGACAATATGCAGTCTGGGTGACAGGAATATAAAGGAAGCAATAAACATCTGAGTTTGTTCGTAAGGGAGAAGGCTTGTTGATGGAAGGCAAATTTGTTCATAAGGGAAAAAAAAAAAAACAACAAAACCCAAAGCAGGATGAACCAGAGACCAGAGCAGAGATGAAAGGCTGGGTGATGTTCGATCAATGAGGCTGATGATTGCATGGATGACCAGTGCCTCAATTCAGTACTTACGATGGTCCCACACTACATGCCACAGTGACTGCTGCACCAATATGACTGCCTTACAAAAATCCATGTGACCTTCTGCTAAACAAAAAATGGCTGTGCAGTGCAAGCAGAAAACAGACTTATCAGGTCAGTCATGTGTCTGTCCGGCACCCTGAAGCTGCGTTTTGTGGAGAAAGAAGACAGTTCTTGTAAACACCATGTACTTTAGAGGGGTGTATAATATAGAAACAGGGTTTGTCACAGCAAGTGACTTGTTTTCAGTTATACAGCCTGCCTTCACTGTATAAGGCATACATTTAAGTAGCATCAATTACATTCTTTTAGGTTATTTAATTGCAAACAGATTTTCCTTTTGAAGCTTCCTTACCGTTTTCAAAGATAACAATGTCTAAAACAGGACTCTTTCGCCAACCAGAAGTTTCTCACAAAAACTACACAAAACATAAATTGAGGGCTCAGCAAATCGTGTTCTTTGGCTCTGAATGACTCCAGTTTCTCTTTCATCAAGAACCCAGAAGTGCTAGAGTGAAGTCTGACCTAGATATGCTGCTCAGTTTGGATGGCTAGGTTCTATGTTTTTTTCAGCTCAACCAGAGTTGAAAAACAATCACTGCAGCTCTGCCCAGAGCGCTCCCCAGCTCTGAGGTTGGTTGCATAGCAAGCTTTGCAAAACACAGGCGTAAGCTAAGAACAGGCAGTAGTCAGTAGTGCCAGCAAGCCAGTACTGGCTCCATGTTATGCTGAACTTTTTCAGACTTTACATTATGGCCTACTGTTTCCTGGTTGCTTTAACGCAGTCTGCTGACCCTGTGGTTGTATTGATCCGATTCTTCCTCTAGGGTACTTAGGATTCTGTCATCTTTCCTTCCTCTCGCTTCCGTCCATCCTCTTCCTCTGAAGGATATTTTACCTGTTTACTTTTTGATGAGCTGTTCTCAGTTTCTGCCTGCAGAACGCAGGTACAGACTCCTTGGGCTTGTAAGATGGCTGTAGGACAGGAAAAGGAGTGCACTAGAACAAGAGCTTGTTGCCTCACAGCAACAGGTGGGAGCACAGTACTCCTCAGGCAAGAGAGGAGTACCTGGGCAAGAGCACCCCACAGACCTGCCGGTGGGACAGAAATGTCACAGCTCCTAAGGTAAGGGAGCAATCCTGGGGACTGGCCTTGCTCCATGCAGTGAGATTTCCAATTTACCACCCTTCTCCCTTCAGACACCCAGTACTGAGTGTACCCAGGCAAGATTTTCAAGGATGATTATTAATGCCATTTACCAAACAGAGGGAACAATGCGTCATTTACAAAGAGGAATAGGCCCCTCTTCACCTTCATGGCAGAAAAGTTCTAGATGGCTCTTGGAAGTGGACAGGGGCAGAAGCCTTGGGTGTTAAACTCTGGGCAGAATTCCTAACTTCCAGCCACTTCTATTACCAAGAAATACTGGGAAATGATTTAGATGCAAACAAAAGCCAGAGAAGCACACCTTTTAAGTGTAAAAACTCCTAAGGAAGAATAGTAAAGGAACTTAGGAAGGTGACATGCATGGACAAGTTGGAGGCATTCCAGGACATAGTGACACTGTGATAAAGGAGTAGGAAACAGAAGAACTACAGGGTAAAGGTAAAATCCAAACCAAATAATTAATTCTATAGTTTTTATTTTAAAAACAGGAAACAACCACATTCATAAGCATATAAAACCCATCAGAAATATTCACAATGCTGTTACAGAAAAAGAAAATAACAAAGAGATATCATGTGAGAAAGACCTAAGCTTTTCAGTCCAAGCCAACATACATCTCTGATGCAAAGTATAGAATGCTCTTATGCACAGCTGTAGGGGGAGTTTCCTAACATATAGATGCCCATATAGAAATCTTATGTCTGGAAGTGTTGGCAGGTCACAGGAAGGGCACATAAGTCTGTATGGAGAACTATGAAAGTTGGGAAAGAAGTCATATGTAATACTTCCAAGATTGAGTATCTGGCACAGAAGCCTGATAGAAAGCTAGGATGTAATAGAAAGAGGATGTAATAGGGCTGCACTGTGCAAAGCTGGAGTATTTCAAGTGAAATCACAGGAAATATTTTACAGCAGAAAATATACTGATCTTCGCAACCCTTTCTCATTGAGGGTAGAAGCATCATCACTACTTACTGAAAAAATGCCAGATACACACCCCCAAAATACACATCAATGTATTTACCTCTCTGACCTACTCTGAAGTAGTATGTTTTCAAGAAAGCTTGGTTTAGCCACACTACTACAATTTTGCTATTGTTCCTGCCCTTCTGAGCCTTTCTTCCTTTCACCCACCTCAGAATCCATGGGCCTGCCTCTCCTACGATATCCAATGAACTCCACCATGAGGTTGCAGGTAGACTTGAGTTTCCTCAGGTCTGAAAAAGCAGATGATCCTGGAGCCAGAGTTTAAATTGGACCCACCTCTGTGCTACCTTTAGCCAGCTTGTGCAGGTCTGGACAGACATGGACCTGGAGTCTCTCTTGACAGAACACTGCAGTAACAAAGGGAAAGCTCCCACCCCTTGACTGCAAGTATACCATAGGTGCCATTTTCTGCTTTCCTGAACTGAACTGTGCTAGCCTGGCAGCAAGGGTAGGTGAATACATACTCAATTGCCTAGCAGTAGAACAAGCAGAGACACCAATATTTACCAACGTACAGTTACCATCTGCCATATCCCTTTTTAAAACAGAGGCACTTTTACAGAGCAGTACACATCTACACAGCACACTGTACACTGGTGGGTGGATCACAACATCATGCAGGTCTTCCAGAGAGGCCATATGGGGCAAAATCGCTTAGCCTGCAATCAGCCAGTGGACTTAACACTACAGACCTTCCACACTGATGAGCTAGTAAGTTCCAATAGCTTTGGTCTCCAGTTCTGCATCTCTACCTTTATGAGCTTACACATGCTATAACTGACCATGCCTATGTCCAGAAGGGTCAATGCTACCCATGCCTCTGTTTAATACTTAGATCAACAACTGGTAAGAAAACACAACTTTGAAAAGTAAGTTTTATCCTCAGACCCCTTTAAGTAACAATTTGCAATTTTCAGACCTTCTGACCTGCTAGAATACAGCAGAGAAGCAAAAAGAAAATAAAAATTGAGAACTGAGGAAAAGTTACTTTCAGGTTTGCAATCAGCACTCGCAATCACCCCATAAAATGCTTAACCATGACTTAAAATATAAACTATGCTTAACCATGACCTAAAATATAAACTAAACTAATAAAATTAATTTGCTGCGATACCACTTTCTAATCAAGACTTGGAAACGGTATTTAAAATTGCCACCCAAAAAAATCCCAATGAACAGAGATTTCAGTAGACAAACATACCTCTTCCTGCTAGTACGCAATCTCTTGCATTTCCTTCCAGAGGGCACAAATACCATGTCAGTGTTATGTGCAGAACTGGCTGTTGTCCATACCATCCAAAATGCCCAATTTCCTGTTTAGTACCACATTTCTCATTCAGTCTTACTGCACCTCAAGTCTACAGCATCTTGTTAGATTAGCTATTTCTCTTAAACATCTTCAATTTCAGTATCTGTACACTTTTGTACACCATTTAAAAAAATAAAATATTTACAAAGTGACATACAAATAAATAAACTTAAGTATGCTTTCAGTCTGTCTATACAGAAAAAAAAATAAAAGAGCAGGAAAAATATGCATGTAACTTGGTCCCCTTTTTCCTGAGGCTAAAAAAAAGTGCACACTGGATAGGAAAAAGCAAGTAGATGGCTTTTTGGTAGGCTTGTTAAATTCCAGTGTAACACTGCACACACACACACACACACACACACACACACACACAGTAGACTCAAAGGGCCAGGGACCTGTTTAGTGGCTCACTTCAACTCACTAAAAAAATAGGAATTAGATTCAAATATATAATGGTCACTGCGTGCGTAAGTATTAACCCCAAATAGCAATTAAAGGTGAGAAAAGCAAAAAAAAATATCGCCAGCTCTTCTCTGTTCCCCCAGTGTTTGTGACAGGGAAGATGAAATTATTTTTCCAAGTGCCAGGTGCCTTCCAGTACTTGAAAATGGGACCACCAACATCAGCTTTGCTTAATGCTTGTAAGCCTGGCAGAATAGGTGGGTATATGGGCACAAAGAAGAAAATAGCAGCAACTGAAGGGAAGGGGGGGGGGAGGTTGTTAATGTCCCAGTTCTCATGGTTCTCTTTGTCAATTCCTTTTGTGACTCTTTAAAGCATGTAAGAGTCAAAGAAGGGGTGCATCATGAATCTCAGGCAACTTGTTTGTTAGGTTGTATGCTGTTCAGCTCCACCATGGGGTTCTTCTCTACAGGTGAAGAGGGGCTGGCTTCTGCTCGTCCTTCAAAGCCCCTGGAGATATCTTCAAAAGTCCTGCCCTTGGTCTCCGGCACTTTGAAGAATGTGAAGATAAAGAAGATGACCAGGAAAACAAGGAAGATGAGGAAGACATAGGGGCCACACAGTTTCTGCAGGGAGGACAAAAGTGAGAGGTTTTAATTTGAAAAGCTCATAAGCCTAAATACATTTGCTGTTAACAGGTCAAAATCACAGCACCTTTCATCAATGCCCTCACTGGCTTTTTGGTCAACACAGCATTTTTCAAAATGAAATCAGGTTCTCGTGGACTTCTGAAATGCTTTAATGTTCCTGAGGGTGATCAAAATTTAGTCTTTTAAAGGGAAAGCCTTGATGTGATGGTTAAGAAGGCTCTTACAACTATTTGGAAGCCACAAGCAGTTAAGACGGTAGAATATAAGATGAGCCATCCCACTCAACCTTCAGTAACAATCAGAACACAGAATCTGGGACCTAGGGAACACTGACCAATCTTCTGCTCAAAGTAGGGACAACTTCAAGAAGAGATCAGGTTAGGGGTCATGTCATCATCTTTTTAAGTCTCCAAGGACTGAGATTGTACCACCTCTCTGGACAACTATTCCAATGCTGCAGCACTATGTTTTGCAAACTGAGTCCTTACCTCTGCATAGGGAAAAAGCATTCCCACCAAGAAATTGGAAGTCCAGTTGGAACAACCGGCCACTGCCATGGCTGCAGGCCGTGGGCCCTGGCTGAAGAGTTCTGCCACAATGAACCATGGGATAGGGCCAGGGCCAATCTCAAAAAGAGCCACAAAGCCAAAAGTGGCAATAATGCTGATGTATCTGATCCATCCCACAGTGTCCTGTAAGGGAATAAAAAGTGATCAGCTGCAATTCGAGACAAACATGGCAGAGCACAATGCCATCTCTAGTGTCACAACTTTCTCAGCTGCACTGTAAGCACAGTTAGGAAGTTGCACTCTCCACTGCACACTCAGCTCTAACCCCAGGTGTACCTGCCCACAGGACAGAATTACAGGCCAAAGCAGATGTGTAATCTCATAGGTCCCCAGCTGAGGTCAACCTGGACAAGAACACGATTACTTACCTTCAGAGCTAAAGCGATGGTCATAACAGCAGCACACACAGCCATGCCACCCAAGCCAATTAAATGAAGAGTCCTGCGCCCCGCACGCTCCACCAGGAACAGCTGGAAATGGCAGGAGGAGATAAAAAACAAAACACAAACAAACAAAGCAAATCCATAAGAGCAGAGGAGGCTCCCTTGCTCAGCATGCCCTGCTCCTCTTCCCTTTATCTGCCTGTAGCCCTCAGTGCCAGTGGCAATCTCAGTGCAGGTCACCAGGCTGCTCCATCTTTGTCACGAAGTATTTCCTCCCTGGTTCTTGCCTTCTGTCATCCCCATGCACTCCTTTTCACTCTCCCTTTCTTCTAGAAGGGTAACAATACCTCTTTCTCCCCTCCTCTCACAATGCTTTTAATGCATTCTTTTCTTTGGTCTTATAGGCCACAGCCTGGCTATTTGTCTTCAGTCCCATCTCCCAAAAATGCCCAGGCAGACAAGTTACCTCTTACCATAAGGCCTTGTTCCACTTACCGACACAACAGTGAAGACTGTGTTTACGACACCAGCTCCAATAGTGGCATACACAGGCTGTGTGATACCAGCTCTTTCAAAAATCCCTGTAGAATAATAGAATACCTGGGAAGAGAAGCAAAAGTTGGACAGTGTCACAATTCCATGTTTTGGGCGCATATCCCTCATTCTCTGCCCAACAGGGAGTTGTTAAGCACTCCACAGCACGAAACAGGATGCTTCCAGTCAAAGTTAATTCATTTGGTGAAAGGCTGCAATGTCTTGACAGGGGGTGCGAGGCAAAAGTGAAAGCAAATATAATCTCCACCTTAGCAATCTCTGCACTATCACAAAACAGTGACCTCCAGACAAGGCACAAAGAGGTTTCTGGAAGAACAGATCTCTCAACATTAGCAGCAAGTGCAAGTGAAGCCAGAGATAAGAGAGGCCCAGCAGACGGGACAGGAAAATAACTCACAGCATTGATGCCCGAGAGCTGTTGGGAGAGCTGCAGCATGATGGCGATGATAATGGCTTGACGATAGCTTGGAGAACGGAAGAGCTCTGGCACAGTTGCTTTCTTTTCCTGGGACATTTTGGCACTCTCTTCTTTCATCTCCTGGATGTCTTGAGACACATCTTGCGTACCGCGGAGCTTCTGAAGAACTGGAGGGACGAATCAAAAGCCATGTACAACACACCTGCAGCCAGTAAGTCCCCATCCTGCTATTTCGGAGGGCACACTGGGAATACTGGAGCACCTGCTAGTCAGTGCTTGGGCCTGCTACGTGGGAAAGACTGAAGCTCTACCTGCAGCCTTGCTCACCTTTTCAACCCAGACAGAGGCCAGGATGCTGTGATCAGCATGGAAATCAAGCCCTGCTCATGTTGCTTGATCTCCAACTTACATCTGATCCCCAGCTCTGTTCACACGCTTGCCAGAACTGACTCCAGCCCTCTGTGGTAGGAGAGGAAACACCCTCCAAGCTCCTTGTTAAGTATCAGCCTTTGAGAAGGATCTGAGAGAGCTGAAGAAGGCCCTGCTACATCCCACCAGGCCAGGTGCCACTCCTCATGCCTTAGTCCCACCTGAAGTGTCTGTTAAGATGCCAGGTTTCCCACACTTTCTGGCGCTGGTGCAACCCAAAGGATGGGAGGGTAGGCCAGGCCTGGTGCCTTCCAGAAGTCACACCCTGATCCATCACGGGCTCCAGAGCCAGTCCTAGCCTCCCACTCAAGTTCAGTGCAGGCTGGGAGCCAGAATACAGCTCTACCCCTTCAGAGTTGAGTTCTTACCTGCTTGAGCTTTCTCTTCCTCCATCTTGTTGATCAATAGGAAGCGGGGACTCTCAGGGCAGAAAAGAAGAGCCACACACTGCAGAAGCGCTGGGAGGACTGTGAACCCCAAAAGCAGTGGCCAAAGTAGTTCCGTCCCCATGATTTCCTCCAGCCCAAAGATCTACACCAAGAATCGGAGAGAAATAGTGATTGGAGTGAAATAGTGAAATGCAGCTCCTCACCCCCACGCCAGTGAGTATGACAGGACCACACATCACACCTGATGGCAAGCACAGCCCACCTCCCCTCCCACCCACCCCTCCTCCTCTCCCCTGAGGGAAGCAGAACAGGTTATGTCAAGCCTACCTGGGCCACCAGGATGCCCACAACAATGCCCAGCTGGTTGAGGGTGCCAAAGGCTCCACGGAGGCTGGTGGGTGAGACCTCACTGATGTACATGGGCACAAAGCCAGTGCAGAGACCACAGAAGACACCAATAACAAAGCGGCCAATAATCAGCATCTCCACTGCCTTTGCCATCTTGGAGAAGGCCATAGAAGTACCACCAACAAAGGCCAAGATGTTCACCAGTAACATAGAGTTCCTCCTGCAGGGTAAAGATGTCCAAGACTGATCTTAAGCTGGTGATACAGTAGGGAAACAAAATCACTGGGAGGTGGGTAAACCTACCCATGACCCTGTCCCTTATCTCAGGGGTAGAAGGAGAACAGAGTAATTCCCATTCAGCAACTCTCTTGGCCTGCAACCCTTTCTTTTTGCAGCCCACGTTCTTTTTTCTTCCTTGTCTCTAAGGTCTGCCCTCTTCCTCCCAACACTTCACTGTAGAAGGGAAAGATTCCCTAATGGCTTGGATCCCTGGTCCCAACTTACCTGCCAAATCTGTTGACAAACAGGCTGACTGAGAAGGAGCCGATCATGCCTCCTACTGAGAAGATGGCCACAGAAAGAGACCAGAGAGAGGTGAGGAGCTCTGGGGAAGGAGGCTTCCCACTCCGTTCTGACAGGGTCCCATTGAAGAAGCCCCGGATGATCTGCAATAGAAACCAGGTGAGGACAGAGTTACAATCCAGTGGGAGGCATTTTGCACTGGGGATGTGGGGGGAGGAGGAGAGATTACTGCTGAGGTCTTCCTTCTCTTTGCATGGAAGCAAGCAGCAAGGATAGACCCTAAAACTTCAGTAGGCAGCAACAAGTCATACAAGGGGAAGATCAAGGAGCAGAAAGAGGAACTTTCATTCAGAAGCTCAGTAGACGGTATGATGGGGAACACCGACTTGGGGAGGGGGCAGCATTTATTAAGGAAAACAGGCTTATCTGCTGAATGTTTCTGGATTACATGAGTCACTGGTGGTGTTTGGGAGGGGGTGCAACACAGCTGGGAGCGAGGAGGAGCATGAAAACATGACCAGGGATTATAAGGGAACATTTCCGGCAATAACAGAACTCTGGCAGCAGACAGGCTTTCTGGTATGGAAACAGTTTAAGAATGTTTCACCGAGGTAAGCCTGAAAAACTGCAGCCTTATGTAAAACAATCCTACATTGTCCCACGGGGATGTGACAGGGCCGTGTTGCTGATTTTCAAAGCATCCTTTTTGATAATGAGATCAATTCTGCAAGGGCTGAGGGCAGCAAGGCCCCAGAGTGCCTGTCCCCAGCAGATGGCAGCAGGACATTAGCTAGGGAGGACCCCCCCAGCCACCCACCCCCCGGTGATGTGACATCTATTCCCGGAGACAGGGTGGATGTGGTACTGGTGACTCAGTTCCTGAGAGAGAGAGAGAGGAACCATCTTACAGTCACAAGAAAACCACATTTCTCATTTTCTTCATCTCTTCTTTCTTAGACTGAAGTCATGAGATGATTTGGTCAGTGTGTGCAAGTCGCAACCCTTCTACAAGCACTGAATCTACACTTAACACAAGGAATGAATAAACAAAAGAAAGAAGCCCGAGATAAACTAAACTAGAACTGTAATCCCTACCAACCCTCAACTGTCTTCTGCATGCTCTCTTTACAGTTCTTTCTGCCATGGCTGCTTTGTTCTAACTTAAAACTGAAGTGGCTCACATTCCTCCACACACCTAATATAGCCTAGCAGGAAATGGCAAATGGAGCCCTCCTGCCCCCTCTGTACTCCTATTTAAAAGGATAAACGTCTCTGCTTGCTCTCTCCTCCCACAAGCTTTTCCCTTCCTGTTCATTGTTGTAGCTGAGAAGGCTTTGAACGTCTTCCTGACTTCATAAACCAGAACCAAATTATTAGCTGCTTAGGAGGCAACTTTAGTCCTTTCTACATCTCCCCTCTCACCTTCTCAGGAGCATTGATGACACCAGTGTTGTACCCAAACTGGAGAGATCCAATGGCAGCAATGGTAACTGCATAGACAAGGGGTACTGTGATTTTCTGTGGAAAGGGGAGAGAAAATAATTGTTTTGTTAATTTGTTTAATCATGCTTTCTACATGACCCGAGTTTCTCTTCGGCACGAACAGCAGCTTCAGCTCATAGATGGCATGTGCAAGTGCACCAACAGCAAGGAATGGACTTTAATCCAGCAAGGGTGGGTACCAGAGACCCTGGAAAGGGAGATGCAACTGTATAGCAGGAAAAAGCTCTGTAACCAGAAGAGTGTGGGCCTGTCAGGACCTCCCTTTTATCCTCCTGACCTTCATCAGCTATTCTCAGCTCATTAGCAATGAATAACACCAGTGGCTGTTATTTTGGGTTGATCTGCTTTACGAAAAGCTTTTGCTGATCTCTGGCATGTCATGAAACAAGGGTCTAACTCTTCCCCTGCCAGCTGACAAGTTCCCATAAATTGAGTCTCTGATCTGCCCATGAGCTGTACTGGCAGTCACTCCTAATAGTTAAAACATGCACTCTTCAGCAACAGGCCTTCCTTCTGCAGGCTAGAGCTTCCCAGCCCTGCCCCAGGGCACCTGGCACAGCAGCCTGCCTCACAGAGGTGGCAGCACTTGGTGCCAGCCTCGCCGTTTGTTTTTCTTGAAGCTGGAGCAATACTTGGCATTTTAAATGAAGCACAGTCCCTGGAATTTGAGCATATGTGAACCTCTGTTTAGCAAAGCGAAATCCCACTGAGCCCTCAGCTATAGAGGAAGCATAAAGCTCCAACTTCTTAAGTACCACAGAGCAAGAAATCTGAGTGTCAGTGAAAAGCATCTGACATTTCCTACGTTTTTAAAGCTTCTGGCATTTGAGCTGGCTCTCTGCTAGGAAGGCGTAGGGGAGCAGGTGACTCAGGAGTTGGCACAACTTGGAAAGATCGTGTTTCTCAGGAGGGATTGGAAGGCTTTGCCAAAAATATTGACAGTCCATTTTCCAAGGCTCCCCAGTTATTGTCCTATGGCTGGCAGAGGGGTCTGCTGTCACAGCTCTTTGAGTCTCTCTTCCAGCTGAGCTCTAGGAGCAGCGGCTCCCAAGAGAGACCAAAATCTTGTACAATAAATAGCCTTCTGCCAGTGCTCATGCCTCCTTTACCAATCCTGCAAGCCAAGCCAGCTCTTCTGGCCTGCACAACCATCACGCAGCTACCAGTTAGGCCCCAGTAAACAGCAACTGGGGAAATTACTCTCAGGCTTGCTTTCCCCCACCCACATCATTAAATGTCTCGGGCTCTCTCTCTGATAAGGTTAGTGATGGAAACAAAGGGGACAAAAGCCTTTTCTTGCAGGGGGCAGGCAGATGATTCCCAAGGGTAAGGCCCACTCCCATCATTTTTTGTCTCAAGGCGATTTGGCACAGAACCACAGCTCTTTCAAAGCCCCTGGATGCCTGTAAAAGGAAATCAAGCTATCTAAGCACTTTCAGGACACCAGGCCAGGTCATCACTAGTCAGCAGGCACAGCAGAGTTGAGGACAAAACCCAGCTCTCCAGATCTTCAACATAGTGACTCAACATAAGAGCATCGTTCCCCCTAGGGCTCTGCTTTGTCACGGCTTGCAGTGGTCACAGCCTTTTTCTTCTGGATGCAGCAGGGACAATAGTACCCCTTACCTACATGGTATATATAAGCTATAAGGTTAGTTGTTCTACCCTCTTTCATACTCGGGGCTGTTGCCTGCTATTCATCTCCTACCACGTAGGCATCACATGGCCTGACCCATTCCCTCCAGTGAGCCAGCCCATGATGTAATGTATGGATCGTTTGTTACTGCAGAAAGCACCTCACTTCCCAAAAGACAAACAGAGAGCTCATAAATAGTACAGCTACACCCATTCTATCCAAAAGCTTCAGGCTAAGGTCTATACACCACCAAGGAATTCAAACCTCCACCTCTCCCCTGTAACCACAGGCATCAGCAGTATTCATTACCCAGGACATGCTCCTCACCAGCACTCCCTCCTCCACTGGAGCCTCCGAACAGTTGCAACTTGTTGAGCCCAACTACCGCGGCCTCCCAGCCCTCCTCTGAGCGACCTTGATCAAACCCTCTCCTTTCCTCTGCTTCCTCATGCTACCCGCATGCCCCGTCAATATGGCGATGAGGGCCGCGGGCATCCCCGGGTGGCTGTAATTCCCCGGCATCCCGTCCCGGACCCTGCCAGGCATTTGCCCTCTCTCGCCCCCTATGCCTGCCCGCTTCTCTCCCCTGATGCGTTCAAACACACGCAGTCATTAGCTCACTGCACTGGTGCACGCCTCGCTCGTAGTTTGCGGATGAGCGATGACACCAACAAAAGCTCTGCCCCTGATCTCCAAAGAGGGGGGAGAAGGACATCCTATTTCTTTTTGAAATTCGAAAATGCCTTTATAAGCAAATACCACCATCACACACACACACACACACAAAAATACAACAGAAATAAAAGCGCCGTTAGCAGTAATCCCCGCTTTGCTTTTAGCACCATGAACGCCGGGACGAACGAGCGCTGCCCTGCCAGCAGAGTAAGCCTCGTGATCAGTCGATACGGATGCCGGCATCATGGGGATTTATCAGGCCACACGCACGAAAACACATCCATCCTGCCACCCGCACCAGCCCCTCCCGAACAGGCCAACCCCCTCCCAGCCCCTTCCCACGGACGGGGCTTTTGCCCATCCACCCTCTCCAGAGCCGCCGTAGCGCCCTGCCGCCTCCACCACCGGCATCCATCTTCACTACGGCCGACAGACACCCGGCGGCGGCGGAGGTGAATCCTGACCAGTCGCGGCAGAATCGCTCCCTCCCCACCCCTCCGCCGAAGGGGAGCCGAGCGGCGGCTGCGGGAAGAGAAGGCAGCACGGCTCCGCGCTCCTTTCCTCACCTACCTTTTTAGCATCCATCGCCGGCAACGGACTGCTGAGCGGCTGCCGCTCCTCCACCTAACGGACCGCACGGGGAGCCGGCCGCGCCCACGCTCCGAGCCCACGCCTCTCCCCAGCCCGCACCCGCTGATTTAAGGCCTCCGTTGTGCGAGGGGTGGTGGGAGGCGCGGAGGGCGGAGCTCGGGCACCCCCGGAGCACCTGGGAAACCGCGCACACGAGAGCCCACCCCACCCCACCCCGGCACCTCCCAGCACCCGCTGCACTCGCACCGCGTCCTGGCCCGCAACTGCCGGCGGCCCTGCGCCGGCGTGCGTGCTGAGCAGCCCGGCTGCCATGGTGGGCAGCGGCGGGAGGCAGGACCCAGCGCTTTGCGGAGGAGCCGTTACCGCTCTTCGACACCTGCGGTGCCTCATGCGTGTGGCGAGGGGCAGGGTGCGGGGCTGTGCGTGGTGGGAGCGGCGGGACACAGCTGCTACCGACCGCAGCTGGAAGAGCAAGGCCGGCAGTGACGGCGCAGCGAGAGCAGCGTAAACGGCACGGGCGGAGGGAGCCTGGGGCCAAATGCTGTGCTCTGGAGATGCTCATCCCAGCTCCTGAAGATGGGAATGAGGCACGGGCACGGAGAACTGGGTTTGGGGGATTTTATATGTGTATATAGATGTATGTATAAATATCTATTTTTGTCCTACAAAGCTAAAAGCAACAGGGTCAAAGCTGAACTTGTGATCCCGGAGCTCTATTTAGTCCCAAACTTAAGCCCTTCCAATCAAACTGTACTACTGTGTGCGCTGTGCACGTTCATTTGGTGCCCATCCTTCAGGTCAAACGCTCGCAAACCTCTACGGGAAGACTACCGAAGTGCTTTGAATCTCAGGCAAAATCTCTCTCAGACAATAAAAAGTCTTCACTGAATGAAGAACCTGCCAAGTGTTTTGGCCTCAGAAAATGGCAACAGCTCAGAGCCGGGCTGTGGGCAAGAGTGGGGGAGACGTGCCTTCTTCTGAAGGTGACTAGCGCCGTCACTTCAGTCACTAGGAGCGATCACGTTTTCATTTAAGTCCTGCTGTTTATTTTGTCGGTCAAAAGGGGTTGACGTTTTCCCTCACTACCTTCGCGGGTATTTATATGTTGTCGAAATATTCATTCCAACAGAAAAAAAAAATACAGTTATATAGAGGTGCAAGGGAAGCCTGCATAGTCCCCTTGTTTAGGCTGCGTGACAAAAGCTCGTTTGCCCACCCACAAAGGAGCACGGGAAACAATGGCAGGAGGAGGACCCCAAATAACACCCAGCCCCAGCTACTCCCGGGCCTATCACAAGAGCCATCAGCACATCAAAGGCTCATTTTCACACGCCCGGAGGAGAGCAGGGGCCACAATGCCAGATGGCAATCGAAATTAAGGACTGAGAGGAAGGGACCCCCTGCCTCAGCCCGCCCCTCCCAGGGCTCCCCCAGGGAGAGCCATCAGCTCCATTGTCCAGGTGTGAAACCCATCACTAAGAGTCAAAGGCTGGAGCACCTTCAGACTGGGGGAAAACCAGGGTGCGGCCTAAGGGGGCACTGGACACATGGCAGGATGCAGGGGAAGAACATTTTGGGATTGCACGGGATTTACTATGGGATATTTAGGGGGGTATCAAAGGGGAGAGGGGAAAATAGGAACAGTTGCATGTAAACTGTTGGCTGGCCAGCACATGGGTGCAGCCTTGCACCGCACTTTTTTAGTACAGTTTTCCTGTTAAATTCTCTCTCTTCCTGGGTGAGGTACTCTCTATCTGGGGGCTGTAAGGGTGCATAGAGGTAAGCCCCACTGGTGTGTGTGTGTCTAAGAGTGAGGCCATGGCAGGTTGGCTATTGGAGGGACCAGGGGAGTCCTGGCCAGCTGTGCATACCCTTGTGTGTGTGTGTATGTGTATGTGTGTGTGTGCATCTGTACAGCAACAGGAGTGGGACTGCAACCTCAAGGTCTCATACGCCCAGGTACCAGCAACTGGGGAGACTGGGATCTGGGGGCAGACTGAGTGTCTTAGCCCAGCTCCTGGAAGGATCCACCTTTTTCATGTATATTTCCCTCTATTGGACCTCCATCCTGCTCAGTCTAGGAGGGAAACAGGATGAGGACATTCGTGCCATTTGTGTAAGTGCTCTGTGTGTCTCTGTACATCTGTGTGGCAGCCACGTATATGCCTGGTGTATATGTGTGCTTTTATGCATGTGCCCTCAGGGAATACATGCTCAGCCTTGCTACGGTTGCACCTGGGAACAAGGAGCTGTGGCAGCATTCCCTCTGCCAGGCTGTTGGATCTGGCCCTGATTTCCTAACACACTTCTCTTTTTTCCTAGCTTATTTTCCATTTATTTGCAAGCACAGCAAACTCCACCTCGAATCTGATCTCCCAGCTCTCTCAAACGCTGCCTGCCATTAGATCTGGAAATAGGAATCTACTGGTTAATCTGGGAAGTTGCCATATTTGGGGAGGTTCTAAGTATATCCAGACTTCAGAGGCAATCTTTGGACTGTACATTCTTCTGACAAAGCCTCATGTCTAGTTTATTCTTGACCCACATGACCCTGTTGCAAGTGCTGAGCAATTCAAACTTGAAGATTAAACACATACAGAGCTACCAGTCCAACTTAGAAACAATACGAGTTTAGCTGAAAATTAAATCTCTAACACGTGATGCAGAACACAGCTGGTGGCACTTCTTTATCTTTACAGAGGCAGTGGAGTAAACAGCAGTAAAAAAGAGACACAGGCTCAAAATGCATCACTAAACCCCAAATCTTCCTAAGGAATGTTGGGAAAATACCCCAGCCTCCCATTTCAGTGAGTTTTGTCCCAGTTTGAATTAATCTGCTGATGTTCAAATATTTAGATTTTAAGTTTGCATCACAGCCTGTTCTTCCTAAATATCAGTTTTGTTTCTGTCCTAGGATATACCCCTACCTCCCACATCACAGATAATCACAGATCAGCTGTTGGGGGAAGTACCTTAATGCGTCCTTAGCAGAACTTTCTGATCCTACAAGTAAAACTATCTACTTCTCCCTTTATGAATATAATACTTGTGTATTATGCAAAGCGCATTCACTGCACTAGGATGGAGGCCCATTGCAGGTTGGCAGTGGCCGGTCAGACATAAGATTTCTAAGGGAACGGTCAGGCAGAACTGGTCCCAGGTAGCACTTCGTGCTGGCTGCCCCACATGAAACACCAGTATCCTAACCACGGAGCTCTGGGGATTGGGAAAGGTTCATCTTTCCCTTAAAAAGCTTTTTTCTTTTCAGCTTTGAGAACACTTGCATGTCTAAACTAGTGCATGCCAAGTAACGTTTCCTTTCCAGTGCAAACATTTTCTGAGGATTTAATCACAGAATGCCTACCTAGCATTAAGCAAGAGCCCAACAATAGCAAGCCTGTTCTTATCTTCATTTATCTCTCAGAGACTTGAGCTAGCAAGTGACCCCACAGAAGCACCTTGCTGTGGCTTTTTGTGAGTGTTAGTGGAGCTCCAACAGGTACAGTTCTCTGGCAAACACATTTAATATACAAAAAAGACTTGGCTCAAGGGACAAATGAAGAGAAGGCAGAAGAAATTCGATGCTAAAAAAAAAGAAATAAATATTTTTTGATCCTGTCCATGCCTCCACAATCTAATGGGAACACAGACTGATCAACAGGGATTGATCAACAACCACAGGGTCATCAGTCTGCTGTCCAAGTTGCTAGCAAGCTGCATTTCACCTTACACTAGCTTTATTCCAGGCTCTCCTTTTCCCCTCCAAGTTTAGCAAATCCTTTCTCATGTTTCTTATTATTTCGCCTGAAGAACAAATTCTTCAGAGATAAGAGCAGCAGGGACCAGGAGGATTATTATGTAGTGTTTGCCTTGAGAGATTATTTTGTACTTTTCTGTTTGTTGTGTTTATAACAAAAGAGCATTCAGAACAAAGGAGAGAGAATGAGAGCCAGCAGGGGCCAGATGCTTCCCCCACAAGCAATGAGTAACTTTTATTGTTGAGAGAAGCTGAGAAGGAGTGGGGAAAAAGGAGAGAAGATAAAAGAGAGGAACAAGATGATGGCTGGGGAGTAGGCTGGCCCACAGAGGTTAAGAGAGTGAGAAGAGAACCAATGGAGAGACAGAAAGCAAAACCAATAAGAAAATAACGAGGCAAAGAAAGGAAGCACTAAAACAGATTAGAAGGGCAAGGCAGAGCAACAGGAGAGAAAAGGAAGGAAAAAATAGCAGCAAAGTATCAGAGGAAAATGGACAACAGGAGAATAGATAGGAAAGATGAATAGAGAGATGCAGGAGGAAATTGCAGGATTACCTAACTAAGACAGCACAGACACAGCACTGGAGAGATCATCTGCCATGATGAGATGCAGGTTGGAGTTAAGGTCTCTGAAAACTTCCCTAATGAACCCTAATTAATCAAATCACTGATGTCAACAGTTTTAATACTTTAACAATGGCCTGCTAAGGGGAAGAGATGTGGCAGCCCCCAGAAAGTCATCTAAATTTATTAGTCCCACTTTCTATAGCACTACAGGCCTTGCCTTCTTCTTTTGCTCTGACTGGAAAGTGACTCCTGCCCAGCCTCTGAGCCAGGAGCCTACTTTTTTTTTCCCCATTGATGTTGCCTGGGCAACCAGACTTTCTAGCAAAGAGAGGAGCAATATATGTGTGCATTTGCCCTTTTCTTGTGCTATCCGTTTATATGGTTTTATTCTAATGTTGGTCCACATCAAGAATGAAGCCTGTGCATGTGACTCACAAACAACGCTGTAAATATATTGTTTCTGTAAGCAACTGACCTTCTTACTACATCTGAGTTTCTGACTCCTCTTCCCTGGGACTTACAGGCCATAGGTGAACTACAACTGAAACAACCCTAAAGCCCACGTCACAGTCCTGGACTAGGATGCTGCAGCACCTGGGGAGGTGGAGGCAGCAGCAGAACTGTGATGGGAGCTCAGGTGTGAGCTGGCCAGAAGCTGCAGGGCAGGAGTGAGAGAGGCTATGGCCGAAATATCTGTGGTGAGGGTTTTTATATATCAGCCACTACATGTCACCGTGGCTTCCTTCACCCTGAGCAAGAAACTGAAATAGAAAGGCAGTGTAAGAAAACAAGCTGGCTAATGAAGTCCAATTACAAACCATCAGCATGAGCAGATAAAACTAAAA